GATGAAACCATTTCACCCGTATAAAATTCCCTTTTAACGATTTTACCAATAAAGGTCATCTCTAATAAATACACTACATACAATTGCAATGATACAAAGAGTCAATGCGCATACCCGGCACAGTTGACTAAAAATGCAAATGCGTGGAATCTGAAAATAGGGCAAGGCTTTGGAACTGGCAGCAGTACGCGTCGTGACATTATACTTGGATCCTATCTAAGATTCACCTACCATGAAATAGAGCACGAAGAGGTTCTAGAGTAAACACCCAACGCAGGGAGAAGAATTGCATTACTACCAAAGGGTTTAGAAACACATAATGGATTTATTGTGAAAACTCGTGCTTATACAAGAAATACAGAAAAGGTGACATAGACGCTTAAACGGCATGTCTGAAACATTGAAAGACTAAACTACACCTAGGTAGTAAACGTACGAAGACTTAGCGTGGCTCACGGCCATTCAGAAAGTCATGTATGGCAGTTCCCGCGTACGCATCAAAGACTGATGCGTCTAAATGTCACAAGTACAAACATGAGAAAAAGACACATTCTATTATATGAAATATAATAAGAACCCCCTGACAATTAAGAAAGACATTTGAAAACACCTTCGGAGTGTCTCCCGACCTCCGTAATGAAAAGACGAGCCAAGATAAGGCATTTTAATTAAAAACTCGGAAGCGACGGAAGGCCGAAGACTATTGGTAAATGCGTACGCATGTGCATCAACGCATCAGGAAACGTTAATCATTTTGTGATGTCATCTGTCAAACCGGTAAACCGGGCCATAGAAAGAAACACGTGAGATCATGCCAAGCTAAGAATAGCTACGTCGGCTAACTCCGCGTACGCATCAAACACTGATGCGTTTGAAAATGAAAGATGCGACACTACAAAATCTGTAGTGTTCACAGAGATAGACTACAAAATATACCACATGTTCATTAAATTTCATATTTGTAATTCGGACCGAAGTATCCCGCATTAAAACACATGTAAAACGTAGATAGGGGTTCCTGGAGTATATAAGGAGCGCGCTGGCAGGTCAAAAGGCAAGCAATTGCCCCCCGTTGACCAGCTAGTTGCACTCCAAGTAGAGACTTAGGAGGTGGACAGTTGTAATCAATTAAAAGGAGATTTCTTCGTGGTCAGAAAAGTACAGTGTGAACGAAGCCAGCGTGCTTGGGAGTCAACTTACTTGGAGACTTTTGAATAAGAGGTTTTAAAAACACAGTATCATTTAGACGAGACAGCGTACTCGTACCCTTAGTTTTGGAGCATAGTGACATAATAAAAACTCACGGGAGTCATAAAAGTCAATTGAAGTCGTGTTTTGTGTTAATAAAAGAAACTGTGATCAAAGAACTTTGCATTTAAGAGACCAAGTTCCCAGAAAGACATACTTTGTTCTATTGAACTATTCTAAACCACACCTTATAATAAAAAACCGTTTTGAGACGAAATCTCTTGAGACTTTAACCTAAGAAGACAAAAGTGGTATTTCTTAATACCAAAGGCCCTCGAACTCGTGCACTGAGATTGTGATAGTGTGTGTGTGTGTGAGTGAGTGTTTAGGTGTTTAGGGTTTTCCCGACGCGCTTGATCCTTGTTTGCGTGTTTCGCACTTTCACGGTCATCCCCGTGCAACGCGTATCAACGTCCGGAGAACAAATACTTCACAGTCAATAAGCATACAACAGTAAGTCTCATTTATTGCATAGTTTTGATAAATGTGAAAAATAACTATCCAGATCACTGAATTTCGATATCTCCACATTCATTATGAGTCTTGTGTGACATGGCGTAAGGAGACGGATCTGCTTCGCTGCAATGACATCACAAAATGATTAATGTTTCCTGATGCGTTGATGCACATGCATACGCGTTTACCAATAGTCTTCGGCCTTCTGTCGCTTCCGAGTTTTTAATTAAAATGCCTTGTCTTGGCTCGTCTTTTCATTACGGAGGTCGGGAGACACTCCGAAAGTGTTTTCAAATGTCTTTCTTAATTGTCAGGGGGTGCTTATTATATTTCATATAATAGAATGTGTCTTTTTCTCATGTTTGTACTTGTGACGTTCAGACGCATCAGTCTTTGATGCGTACACGGGAACTGCCGTACATGACTTTCTGAATGGCCGTGAGCCACGCTAAGTCTTCGTACATTTACTACCTAGGTGTAGTTTAGTCTTTCAATGTTTCAGACATGCCGTTTAAGCATCTATGTCGTCTTTTCTGTATTTCTTGTATAAGCACAAGTTTTCACAATAAATCCATTATGTGTTTCTAAACCCTTTGGTAGTAATGCAATTCTTCTCCCTGCATTGGGTGTTTACTCTAGAACCTCTTCGTGCTCTATTTCATGGTAGGTGAATCTTAGATAGGATCCAAGTATAATGTCACGACGCGTACTGCTGCCAGTTCCAAAGCCTTGTCCTATTTTCAGATTCCACGCATTTGCATTTTTAGTCAACTGCGCCGGGTATGTGCATTGCCTCTTTGTATCATTGCAATTGTATGTAGTGTATTTATTAGAGATGACCTTTATCAGTAAAATTGTTAAAATTGAATTTTATACAGGTGAAATGGTTTCATCTGTATCACCAGTCTAAAGACCACAAAAAGACTGCAGACCGTGGTCTTTTGCGGTCCAGTCCAGTCTTTTTGACTTCTGGGAAAAGGGTAGACCGGTTGTGGTTATGGTTAAAGCCCCTGGGCGTCACAAGACCGGACCAGACCGGACTTTCAAACACTATGACTGCATAACGCCACAGGCTGGGAACAACAGTGCATATACAGTGGGAAAATCCTTTCTCGGATGCTAGTGCAAAGATCCCTTTCCATTATACTCCCCTGAACCCAGTATTCAACTCGTCTGTAACCTTTGTTCATCTTCCTAAGTAGCAGCTAACTCACCATATTTCACACTATGCAGACAGAAAAATGCATCCATTTGGAAGATCTCAAGCCCACAGATAATCACATCCATTTGGAATATCTCAACCCACCTCCTGGCCAGGCCAGGCAGTAATGTCGACAGTCCTTTGGGTTGGTGACTTTTCGCACTATGCGGTTGCAGACCTCGCACCAAGTGGTTGGAGTTTTTGGATGCCCTTGACAATGACCTCATCTTGCTATATTACATCGCCCTTACCCTGACACCCAAACATGCCACAATGCCACAGAAAATCCCTTTGGGTTAGCATTGCAGTGTCTCTGGGCTCACGTGTAAGTAAGAGTACATATACACAGTGGGATGGGACGCCTTTCTGCCCCAACCCACTCAAAAAGCCTTCAAAATTTTTTGAACAAAACCAAATACTCAAGTTCCCAACCAAAATGTCTGAACCTCAACAACTTCGCCCTCATAAGTTGCAGCCTGTTGTTCTTCTACCCCCAGTGGGCAGAGGTAATGCTTCCACCAAGGTGAGAGACTCCTCTGTCACCGTTAGCCACGACATTCAAAAAAAATGCAGAAGGGAGTGAGGAAGGTGGCCCAGAGTACAGACAATGAGAGGTGATTCCTCGCCCTTTCTGTTGAGGCCTTTCACCTCAAAGTATATTTAGCGTGACAGATGCTGATCCCGGCGGTAACGTCATTGGCAAGTCTGCACCCACTCAGGCAACAGGTCCTCCTGCCTGTAGCCGGGCCAGGAAGATTGCTGTTCCTGTAGTCAACACCACCATCAATGACCCACCTACTCTGGCACCTTCCTGCCCCAGTCAGGCCAAAAAGTATGTTTGCTGCTAAAGGGGAAAAAACATTCTAATACTTGCATGTAGAAACAATTCCAAGGCTGTTAAGAAAATTCTGCCTAGTGAATCTGACCCCAATTTGTCCACACCAATGGTGGACATCAATAGGTGAGGATCTGATCATGATTGACAGGGGTGAATCTCATCCTGAACTCTAGGATCATTGTCATGGAGGATGGCAACGAGCCCCTTGTCAATGCTGAACCCAGTCAGTCTCTGGGATGTTCCAGGGATGCGGCGCTGGGACCTACTCAGCACAATTACCCCAGACAAATGGCAGCACCAAAGGCCAACATTAACCAGTATGGCTTTCCTAGTTCTCACCTGATCTTTTTGACTCAAATTGTATCCTAGAATGATGGACTTGGAGGCCATTAACTCCAACCTCGGCATGGGTGAGAAGGTTGCGGCATCTGAGACAGAGGCCAACTTGGCTGTGGTCAAGCTCACCCAGACGAAGTCATACTGCACATATGGCCTCAAGCAAGTGTGTGTTCCTTTCCCTTTGTCAGGGCTCTCTGTTTGACTCCTTGTTGCGGAGAGTCCTCCCAAGTGAAATTTGACTCCTTGTCATTCCACTCGGGTACAGTGTTAACTCCTTGTTTGCTGCTTCCGCACCTGTAGTATTTATCTTCTTCAATAGTTCCCTCTAACGTCTATACATACAGAGTCCTTAATGTGGCTGATCCAGATGCCACACCCACTCAGGACCTTATATCACATGGCAATCGGTTGGTTGCTCTGCCATTGAGACTACACGGGTGTCCAACTGACCGTAATGCCAACAGAGTCATTGATAATTTGGCCGTAGTGGTGGAAGACTTGTTTTATAACAGAGACCCAAGAAAACAGCCTTCAGACTTTGAGAACTCCCCACCTGCACATCATGCAGACAGTGCGGGGGGCAGGTGAGTGCTGGTCAGGTGTTCAGACAAACAAGACATTGATATTCTGGCACAGGGGATTGTCTGGGTTGATTGGCTTTGGCCTACCATTTCTGTCCAGGCCATGTTGATGTGAGTGTGTGTTTCCATTGAATATCTTATTCAACATAACTCGCAGTGCTGCATCTGCCAGAGTTTCCCCACCAGGAAGGGCACATTTTCAATCAAATCAACTCTCATTCCAATGTAGGTAACTTAAATTGATCTAAGTAAGGGTGGTTCTTGACAATGTTTCAGAAATGATTCATCTGGGGTTCTTCCCTCTTCACCCATCTCTGGCCCCACTCAGGCTGTGTCTCATTTGCATGGTCTCTACATGTTACGCCACAGGCTGGACGTACCTTCACTTACTCTCATTGATCCTATGCTGCGCTATCACGAACCCAAGACTCCTGATCCCACATCCAGCAATGAAGATTTCAATTCCACGATGCTTGAGGATGATACACCGCCAAATAGTGAACATGTGAGAAAAACCTGGGCGACAAACCCTGACCACCATAATTTGGCAGCTGTCAGACATGTTGATGGGACCTTTTCTCAACAGTCATTACTGGCCAACGACAGCATGTCCCCAGGTTGATGTTGCTCTTATGTTTGGGTTGGATGTTGACAACAGCTGTCTCTCCAGGTTGCAGTCAGCTGAGGGGCCAGGTGAATGTCCGGCGGCAAGGGTGCTTCAGCCCACCTATGTATAGACATATGGGCTGTATTCCATAGCGTGACAAAAACCCATTTTGAATTCATCCCAGTACATGTTGGAGGAAGATGAAGTTGAATATATTTTCATAAGCAAGCATTACGAAACAGGCTAGTACAAAATTATACGGTGTATGGAATGATGTAAGAGATATGGCAGCTCCAGTTACTACCTCTGCCTGCTCTCCCATTCGAAAAACATTCCCCCTGCCAACCCCCACCCCTTTGCGCTGTTCCCCAAATGCACAATCCACAAAGAAGGCGCTTCAAAGCAGAGTCTCTAGCTCATTGACTGGGAGGAAGGCCGATAGTGGAGGGGGATGCAGCAAAGCTCATTGAGATGTCGTCTTTTGGCAAACAGATGTGAGGAGCCCAGCTGGGTTTGATGATGGTGATAAAGGTGTCTAATGCGGCTGCCGCTACGTGATGTAATGCAAACATGATCCTATCTGGGAGTGTCAGGGTTAGCAAGTGGGTATCCGTCGGGGAGGAGATACAAAGGGGCAATGGGCAGGAACAGAAGCCCAGAACAGTGACAGGTGACGACCGTGCACAGGCACACGGGTATGGAACAAGGACAACCAAGGAAGCAACATGAGGGGGATTATGTGGGGGCACAGACCAGTGGGTAACACAGATGAAAACAAAAAGTAATGAATGGGAGTGAGCAACCCAGGAGCAACCGGGCAAGGGGAGACAGTTGTGGTGAAGAAGAGGGTGGGTTTGGTTCTGGTTGAAGTTTGGAAGATAACCAAACATAGCGCGGAATTTAAACAACTTAAGAAATTTTTGAGAGCTTCTCGCATGGGCCTTCTCACGTTGAGCTCAAAATTCCTTGTTTTTTCCACCTGTAACAACTTGGAAGTGCTCAATGTATCATTTTATTACCTTCTTATGATTAATTCATATCTTAAGTACACTACTTCGCCCGAAGAAATTTGGTGGTACAGGTCTCCCCGAGAAGAGTTGTAAACCTGTGGGTCAGGTGTCGAGCCGCTGGGGCTAACATTTATGCCCCAAGCTCTGACACACCTGCCATCCATGCCGAGGAAACCTCCATCAGGAACCTGTCAAGTGGAGATTCTTGCCAGATGCCATCAGCATTTTGAACAAATGGCAGTGTAGGCTCCCCCTCCCTCTGGCGTCTTCCCTTCCGCATCCAGTAACTGTATACTTCTGCCGTATTGGCAGAGTCATGGGGGGAAGGGGTTACATTGGACATTGTTTGAGAATTTGGAAGGTCACTGATGCTCACCCTGCCCATCAGTATACCCAGTTCACTTCCTGGTTCAATCGGGTGACTCAACGATGGGAGTCTCTCCCCAAAGGCTACACCACAGATCCCCCTCCTGCGTTGAACCATCTTGGCAAGGTGGAGGAATGGTGGGAGGAAGCAACGAGAGTTGCCAGGCATTGGGCCAAACACTTAGCAGAAGGGAGTGTAGGGTGTAGCGAAGACGATGAAGCAGAGTCCAGTAAGAGTGCAGATTCAGGCAACAGAGCAAAGTCAGGCATCGGTGATACGCTTTGCACGGGGATGAACGTGAAAGTGCGAAACACGCAAACAAGGATCAAGCGCGTCGGGGGAAAACCCTAAACACCTAACACTCACTCACACACACACACACACACTATCACAATCTCGGTGCAAGAGTTCGAGGGCCTTTGGTATTAAGAAATACCACTTTTGTCTTCTTAGGTTCAAGTCTCAAGAGTTTTCGTTCAAAATTGGGTTTTTATTATAAGGTGTGGTTTATAATAGTTCAATAGAACAAAGTATATCTTTCTGGGAACTTGGTCTCTTAAATGCAAAGTTCTTTGATCACAGTTTCTTTTATTAACACAAAACACGACTTTAATTGACTTTTATGACTCCCGTGAGTTTTTATTATGTCACTATGCTCCAAAACCAAGGGTACGAGTACGCTGTCTCGTCTAAAATGATACTGTGTCCTTAAAACCTCTTATTCAAAAGTCTCCAAGCAAGTTGACTCCCAAGCACGCTGGCTTCGTTCACACTGTACTTTTCTTGACCACGAAGAAATCTCCTTTAATTGATTACAACTGTCCACCTCCTAAGTCTCTACTTGGAGTGCAACTAGCTGGTCAACGGGGGACGATTGCTTCCTTTTTGACCTGCCAGCGCGCTCCTTATATACTCCAGGAACCCCTATCTACGTTTTACATGTGTTTTAAAGCGGGATACTTCGGTCCGAATTACAAATATGAAATTTAATGAACGAGTGGTATATTTTGTAGTCTATCTCTGTGAACACTACAGATTTTGTAGTGTCGCGTCTTTCATTTTCAAATGCATCAGTGTTTGATGCGTACGCGGAGTTAGCCGACATAGCTATTCTTAGCTTGGCATGATCTCACGTGTTTCTTTCTATGGCCCGGTTTACCGGTTTGACAGATGACATCACAAAATGATTAACGTTTCCTGATGCGTTGATGCGCATGCATACGCGTTTACCAATAGTCTTCGGCCTTCCGTCGCTTCCGAGTTTTTAATTAAAATGCCTTGTCTTGGCTCGTCTTTTCATTACGGAGGTCGGGAGACACTCCGAAGGTGTTTTCAAATGTCTTTCTTAATTGTCAGGGGGTTCTTATTATATTTCATATAATAGAATGTGTCTTTTTCTCATGTTTGTACTTGTGACATTCAGACGCATCAGTCTTTGATGCGTACGCGGGAACTGCCGTACATGACTTTCTGAATGGCCGTGAGCCACGCTAAGTCTTCATACGTCTACTACCTAGGTGTAGTTTAGTCTTTCCATGTTTCAGACATGCCATTTAGGCGTCTATGTCGTCTTTTCTGTATTTCTTGTATAAGCACGAGTTTTCACAATAAATCCATTATGTGTTTCTAAACCCTTGAGTAGTAATGCAATTCTTCTCCCTGCGTTGGGTGTTTACTCTAGAACCTCTCCGTGCTCTATTTCATGGTAGGTGAATCTTAGATGGGATCCAAGTATAATGTCACGACGCGTACTGCTGCCAGTTCCAAAGCCTTTGTCCTATTTTCAGATTCCACGCATTTGCATTTTTAGTCAACTGTGCCGGGTATGCGCATCGACT